CCTGCGCGCTGCGGGTAGCTCGGGACATGGAGTCCAAGCCGGAGGACGAGCGCGGTCTGATGGCCGCGTGTGGAAGGACGGGGTTGATGCTGCTGGCGAGGGACACTTGGGCAGGGGGTGCAGATCTCCCCGAGACGGGTCAGCACGTGGTGGCCGTGCTCTGCGATTTCGTTACTCATCCCATGGGCTCCATCTTCCAGACATTGCACACGTTGGTGTGCGTCCTGCGTGGGAGGGAGGTCCAGCAAGTAGCCCTGCTTCATGCAGAAGCAACTTCAGATGACTTGCTTTTGTAAGGAGGCTTTTCACAATAGACATAGCCCACTGTGTCGTTTTGATCCATTCCCCGTAAACACCTTTCAGCATGTGGAAACTCATACAGCCCCAGTGGCAAAACCAGCTCCCTTATGAGCCAGTTGTCCTGTGCCTGAGATGGTTCTGTGCGGGCTGGTTTTACAGGGAAGGGCAGTTCAGACTAGCATCTTTTAGCATTTACAGTGGAATTCAGCTTCCCTGACTTGAACATCTAAATATGGTAGGTTGGATTTAAACACCATCCCCTTGATGATAGGCATCTGAGATGAAAGTGAATTTTAAAGAAGTGCCTATTTCTTTCAAGGCCTAATGGTTCCATTTCAGACACCTACATTTTAGATGCCTAAAGGCAGATAAACTCACTTCTGGTGGTAGGAATTGTAAATTACTTGGTAACATTGAAGATAAGGCTAGAGCACCTCCTAAATGCTTGTATAATGTGCAAGATATTCTACCTACAGGGAAAGTGTGGGGCAAGCTGAAGAGATGTGAGGGTGTGTGTATAGGTTCAGGCACATATATGGTACACATATATTTATAGAACTAAAATTATGTTATTTAACAGAGCCAACTCAAACCTTGCAAGTGTTAAGAACTCTTGAGATCGGCATGATTGATGGAACTCCTTGGAGGGGATGGAGCCTGGGCAATTGGCTATGGGACACCAAGAGAAGAGAGTGCAGAGGTGCTGGCCGGAGAAGGGCCAAGTAGCAGTAGACAGCTAGCATCCATCTTCAGTCATCTTGAAGTCCAGTGTGCTGGGCTGGGTTAATGGCAGCGCTGTCAGGGTGCTGAAAAGAATTTTACTCTAGGGATTGGCCAAAGCTAATTGCCTGAGGAACAGTGCAAACTAATACATGACTAGGACCTGTTCATCCAACCCATCCATCCTGCTGTGGTTGTCTTTCTAGCTTGCAGAAGTCATGCCTACATGTCCCAGGTGCTTGTTTGCAGCATTTGTAATAGCTGAGATACTGGTGATGGTGATAGGTGAGTTGTTGGGAGACTTTTTCCAATTGGCTTGATCTGCGGCGGTGGCCATTTGTATATGAGTGTTGTGGTGAAGGCTTTCCACTTCTTAAGCTGCCAGACAAGTGCTTCACATTGGCAGGTTCACTGACATTCATTGGTCAGACTCCCCACTAGCACCTCAGGTTGTCATTCAGGAGACACCTTCGGTGACCTTAGAGCCTTCTAGAAGAAAAAATAAAGAACATGACATCGTTGTTTCCTTTCTCCCTGCATTATGGGATCACCATTCCCCTTTCATACCACTGCCCCCCTCTTCTCATGTGGATGGCTGTCATTACTGCATACCTCCAGAATGCAGGGAGCAGCATCCTATGAGATCTAGCCTAATGGTGCTCCGCAAATTGCTTGTAGGAAGCACCCTCTAGCCCCATATTCCCAATGAAGTTTTATGCACAGTTAAATTGCTTTTTCTTCTTGTTCACAGTGCGTAAGCAAGAGATCATAAAGATAACAGAGCAGCTGATAGAAGCCATCAACAATGGAGATTTTGAGGCTTATACGTAAGTACAGATGTCTTCTGACATGTTATTTATTAGTTTGTGTGCGAGTGATGTTCTGGTTCCAGGGTACAAGGGGTTGTCATGCAGTCAGGGATGGCGAAAAGTTTTATGCTTTTTAGCCTCCATCAGTTAGGAGTTAGGGATATGGTATAGCTCTCTAAATGACCATCAAGTAGAAGTCAGTTATCAAACAGCAGTAAGAGAGACAAAAGGAAAATGCCATGGCTTTCTAAGAAAAGTAAGGGAAAGGGCAGTGAGATGGGCAGAAAGAGAAAAAGAAAAGCCAGAAACACCAACTAGCACCCAACTCAGTAGCACTGAGTCCTCCAAGAACTTACTCCTTGGAGTAGGGAAACAGTTAGGTGGACACAGCGTGTCAAATGCGGTAGCAGGGGTTCATTGTGTAAACAGCCCTTGGGCTCAAATGCAGACACTAAGCCTGTGCTGCTTTTCTTCGCAGAAAAATCTGTGATCCTGGCTTGACCTCATTTGAACCTGAAGCACTGGGGAACCTGGTTGAAGGAATGGATTTCCATAAGTTTTACTTTGAGAACTGTGAGTGGGTAGATTTGGTAACACCAACAGCTTTCTTTCTAATCTTTCTTTATGATGCATTTTGGGGGGAAAATTGCCCTTGTTTTTACTGGCTATCAGAACCAGCAAGAATTCGATTGTGCATGGGTTATGATGCATTCGTACGAGCCAGCATGCTTTCTCTCAAAAGCCTTTTTCAGCAACAATTTGAATTCTAACCCCCATATCCCTTCACTGTGGGCATACAATTTGCCTGGTGCAAATATTTTGTAAGCGTGAACTGCAGGAGCTTTAAAAGTTTGAGGCAGTGGATTTCCTGCTGATACAGAAATGGAAAAGATGAGCATATTTTAATGGAAACAACATGTATGTTTGGGGTAGACATACTGAATGGTCAGGCATATAATCAGTCATGCACAAATCAGACACAGCTTCTCTTTGAGTTTTCCCTGGGTGGTTTCAGATGTCTAACACCTAATGAACCTGGTACGTGGATACAAGGGTCACCTTGGGACAGAAAAAAGAGTTGAGAGAAATGCTACATTTGTACTAGTGGATTTGCTTCCCTTCCTGGATGTCTCCACAGGATGAGATAATTGAAACTTTAATCCTGAGCTGTTCAATCTGTTTTATTTTGGGGGTTAAATCAAGGTCCTTAGTAGACGCAATTTGTAGTGCTCTCAGTATGCAGAGACTTTGTGTCTCTCAAAAACCTGGTCTGGAGTGATTTTTACACGTCTCTGAGGCTTGTTCATATTTAATGCAGATCTGTCTTAAAGATTTCCTGATTACTGGCTCCTTTCCAGCAATATTCTTTAAGAAAGGATCTTTTCCTATAACTGAAGAAGCAGTGGCACTGATGTTGAAAAAGGGGCAAGTATGCTTTGCCCAAGAAGTGGGAGCAAAGAGGCATGGGGACTCTAGGCAGTAATAAGTGCACAGTTCGTAAGGAGAGCAACAGGTGATAGGGGAAAGAATTGCTTGGATTTTGCCTGGAAAAATGCAGGAGCAATTTTTATTGTATCCCAGAATCCATTGGAAGGTGAGTAGAATACAAAAGAAGTTGGAGTATGCAGGGGGCTGTTCCTTCTTAGCAGTAAAATGAAGCTGATGGTTTTGTGTGTTCTGCCAGTACTGTCGAAGAACAGCAAGCCAATACACACCACCATCCTGAACCCACACGTCCACGTCATTGGCGAAGATGCTGCCTGCATCGCGTACATCCGCCTGACACAGTACATCGATGGCCAAGGCCGGCCCCGCACCACGCAGTCTGAAGAGACCCGCGTCTGGCACCGCCGAGATGGCAAGTGGCTCAATGTCCACTACCACTGCTCTGGAGCTCCTGCAGCACCTCTCCAGTGAGGATCAAATACGGGTATGGACTGTCGGGGAAGGAGCATTTCGTACACATGGCTAAGGCTGCCATACGTGGGAATTCAGTATTCGAGGCTGTTTAGCCGGCTGTAAGAGAAAATAATTTTTAGTTGCCTCTTGTTGATTTCTGCTAATCAGTTAGTGTTCCCTTCTCTAAGCCCTGTTCTCTGGACTGGGTAGGACGAGCTGCCGCTCCTGACAAACTGGAGTGATGTGCGAGGCGTTTGTTCCTGAGCCTGGCTACCCCTGCAGCAGCAGCATGTGCTCCCAGGCGGCCAGGTCTGCGCTCAGGCAGAGTGCTGACCCAGAGCAGAGAGGAAGAGTATCTCATTCTGTGCACAGGTTTGCTGTTTTCCAGCTGTCAGGGATCTGCCTTTACATGCTGGGGATGATTTCGGAGAATGTTTTTGATGAGAATGTCATACTTTAGAGAGGATATTACAAATCATAGAATCACAGAATGTTAGGGGTTTGAAGGGACATCTAGAGATCATCTAGTCCAACCTCCCTCCAGAGCAGGATCTCCCAGGGCAGGTCACACAGGAACGCATCCAGGCGGGTTTTGAAAGTCTCCAGAGAAGGAGACTCCACAACCTCTCTGGGCAGCTTGTTCCAGTGCTTTGTCACCCTCACAGTGAAAAAGTTTCTCCTCATGTTGAGGTGGAACTTCCTATGTACTAACTTAAATGCGTTATTTCTCGTTCTGTTGCTGGGCACCACTGAAGGGAGATTGTCCCCTTCCTCTTGAAGGGAAAAAATCTATACAGAAGAATTTCTATGCTATAAGGTTAAAGATTTATTCACATAAATTTTACCACCAGTTTTCTGATTAGCAGGAGCTATTTTGTGTACAGTGTTGAAAAAACTTATATGGGAGAAAAAACCCCTCTCTACACATAATAATATCAGAGGATTTAAAATATCCCCCATTTAGCTTGCCACAATTCAGCACTGGAGGAAACTTCAGTTATAAAATTTGCCATGAAACTTATTGCTTGCTCCTAAAGGACAATAGATCCATTTAATTCTGCAGCACTTAGGCATTCTTGCCCTACTGGTTTCTTTTATTTAGATGTACAATTCCTCTCTGCCTCCTTTAGCTTTATGTTGAAGCATATGTCACATTCATTTTAAAGATCTAAGTTTCCTAATCTTAGGACCTTTTTACTAAAGATTTTCTATTTAAGAGCAAACACACGAAAAAATCTACACCTGGGAGACAAGCTCTTTTTAATGTTGTCATTTGAGGATGAACCACTCAAGTGTAGTTACTGCTTGACTACTAGTCTTGTGTACTACTTGGGACCAAACCACAAGCAGTTTTTATTTATTCTTATGTGTTGTGAGGGATTCGACCTTACTGCGGGCAGTGGAAAGGAATGAGAACTATCACAAGCGAGCTGCACAGGTCACAGATGAAATTCGAAAAGCAAAGGCCAGTTGGGGGCACCAGAAGCAGAGAAGCTTTCAAGAGAGCCAGACAATCAGCTGAATTTCTGTGGAGTTAAGGCAATGAGAAGGATAAAGCCTTTGCACAGAAACAAAAAATAACTTACACTCATCAGTTTTCATCATAGAGATGTTGAGGGAGACTTTTGTCCTGGATTTAGTACAAAAAGATGCAGAAGAAATTATTAAATTAAAGATTGGTGTGGCTCAGTGGCTACGGCTAGGAGTTCTGAGGAAGCTTAGCTGCTACAGAAGAGGTATGTTTTCTTGACTTGACTGCTGAAATGTTGCACCTCCTCCAAAAGTATGTGCTAGAGGGTTTTCTGAAAGCTGCAGATCAGAAGCCGTTTCCAAACCACAAAATGTTGGTTAAAAGAATATTTGAAAAAAACCCTATAAACTAAATTGAAGTTGACATATTTGCATGCATTTCTGGGCTCCGAAGGTGTAACCACATGTAATTACGAGTGGGGTCAATGTGGGCAGCCCCCCTCTGAACACACTGAATCATTTTGGACCAGCATTGGCCCACGTGCAGCAAAGGGTAAGGATAAAGAAGGAATGAGGTGAGTAAGGTTAAATAGAAATCAGTGGTTTGTTGTCACCTGGAAGGCAGAGTTCAGTTTTGGTTAAGTCTTTTTAAAAGGAAAATGCAACTGTAGAAGAAGTTTGAGGTTAATGAGAAGACTTGTGGGAGAGAGTAGGAACTGAACAGGGAGAAGACTAATAAAAGGGTTTGCAACAAAGATTTGCAAACTAAGAAATGTTAGAAAGAACATTTTTGGCTACACTTTAATGGCAGGACAGTACTAAAGAAACATGGGGAAAAAAATGCAAACAAACAACAAACAAATTTAACACTCGTCAAAATAAATCCAGTGATTTGATACAAGAAGATTAGCCAGGGGGAGCATTTGCTAAAAGCAGTCACTAGGGATACAACTTTGCAAAACTGTAGAAAAGCTCATACATTTGTTTAACTATTAAGAACATTCAGAGACAAAATTACTGAAAACTTAAAAAAAATTTAAAAAAAAAAACAATTCAAGGCACAAGCCAATGGAAAGTGAGGCAGAAACTGTTCCTTTGGACCAGAGTCTTTGATCACCCCTTGGGAAGCTTCAACTTCTGGGATGTTACTATTAGATAGTGGTCACGGGTCTGCTCCAGTCAGTCAAGTAATTAATTTTACCAAGCAGTTTGTTTTCATTGGCACACTCAGCCACCTGAAAGGGAAAGCGTGTGCCTCTTGTCTTCAGGGCTCTCCTCATGAGCCCCAATCTGTGTTGCATTAGGAAGGGTTTCTGCCTGCACCAAATAATTACCCTGTAGAAAATGTTTTTTTTTATTAATTGTGTACAGCTAATGTTTGGCTTTATTTCCTTCTGTCTTCCATCCTGTCTCCCCTCTCCTTTCCTGGTGGACATTACTTCTTCCTGAACACAGCAACTTGTGGAGATACTCAGCTGGAGGGCAATATCTTCTTAGCAAGCAGCTCTGGAGTGCCTGAGTAACAGCAATGGTCATGTCTGTTTTGACATTAAAAAAAAAATAAATACAAATTACAAACAGGCAGCAGCCAAATGCACGAAACCCTGCATGCATCTGATGCTCCGGGCGCTGCCTTTCTGTTGTTTTCCATGGATCCATCGTGTCTGTTTCTGCTGTACGAAGGTGTTTTTAAATCTAAAAAAAAAAAAAAGAAAAAAGAAAAAAAAAGAAGACATGTTGTTTGTATAAAATAATAAACAAAACAGGAATAATGTTAAATAAATGACAGATTATCCAACGTGCCCACTCCCCCAGGGCTAAGAAAATGGCAGCAGCTGGAACATCTTTCAGGAATGAAGTGCGGGGGAAAGCAAAAGTGAAGGAGAGAGAAAGAGAGAGGGAGAGCAGAAAAAGGAGGCGGCTTGAGCAGAGCGGATGGCTGAACTGTGCTCCGCAAAGCCATGGTGGAAGTTAACATCGCATTCAGGCTGTGCTGCGACTTCAACCGGCGAGAGGTGGCGAGGACACCCCAGAGGAGCCAGTGTGAAGACTGGGATTTGAGAGAGAGGAGGCACTTCTCTTCATGTTGCCTGGCAGACTGACTTCAGTCTGTTTCTTCTTTGATTTCTGCACAGCAAGAACGCTATGGAAAGCTGGTTGCTCAGCTGCTGGATCCCAAAACAGACTCTTTTTTTTTAAAAAAAATAAATAAATAAACAAAATGGGATGTTGATTTAAAACTACAGGTGAAAGTAGGGATTTAAAAAATGGGTTTAAGTGAATATAACTTAAATAGAAGCTTGCTCTTCAGAGATACTGGTTCTAGAAACAGCCACTACCTGGCCAAACATGGAGGTTTGAAGCCAGCTTATTTAATTTAACAAAACAAAACAAGTATTGCATTAAGAGCAGAGATTTTAGAGGAAGAGAGTACATGTATGGAATTTTCTATATTTTTTTTTCCTTTCCAGTAGCATAGTTGGGATCCACAGTGCTGCAGAACACGTGTTCCTTAGGAAGCAGACAAAAAACTTAGTGTTATGTTCTTCATGAAAACTTGCACATACACTCCTATACGAGGCATAAATAGCGTGTGTTTTTTATACTGAAATATATGCACCCATAGAACTAAAGGGGTTACCTGGCCTCCTGTTAGATTTGTTTGGTCTCCGAGTAAAAGAGCAGTGGGAGCCAGCAGCCCCAGCCAGGTGCTTCTCCCCACCACTAACCCATCTGATGTTTGTAAGTGTCATGTTTCCTAGTGTTTATTTGGGTAATTTTTCTATTTTTTACAGTGATGTTGTAACACAGAAAACTGTCAGATCAGAACCTCAAAAACCATAGCCGAAGGACTCCAGGCCACCTCCCTGTGTTGCCTCTGGGTATGAGAGGATACCTCATGAAGCAGAGGGGAAAGGGAATTAGCACATGTGATCTGATATTTGTCCTTTGGGCCAATTCATCTTCTTTTCTTTTCTTTGCTGCAAAAAGGAGTCCATTTCCTTTATTCATTGGGTGGGAAATGTGGAAGTGTTTGTTAACCCTACCAAGGAGGAAGCCTGGCCCCAAAGAAGAAGATGGCCTTTCTGGTGGGCCTGATAGGATTTGTCTTGACCGACGGAAGGCATCACTTACAGAAGTTGAGACGGGCTTTTACATGAATTTCTGTCTACCCCTAATCATTTTTCAGATCTTTTGAGTTTAAGCAATGTCACTGAGGGTATACAAAGCATGAGGCAACCTTTTTTATTGACTATGGAAGAGAAGAAAGCCAAATTGGAAATTTAATCCTCATTTATCAGAATGCAGAAAAAACACCAACTGTTGCACAAAGTGGAGTCGTTGCTTTGCATCAGGTACCTCTCTGCTTCCTTTGTTAGAGAGGTGCTATCCCACACCAGGATTAGATCAGGTTAACCCTGATGAAGAGAAGACCATCCACACTTTCCAGTTCTGTCTGAGCAAATACCCTTTTCTTCCTCCCTCCATCACCCCAGGGAGGAGTGTGGGTGCTGAACCTATGGGCGGCAAACACTAGATTTTATTGTTTTGAAACGTTTTTAAGACAGCACTAAGCCAGTGAGTGAAGTGGAAAAGTGAAAAGCCTTGATATTTTATTAAGATTTTTTTTTAAAGCCACAAAGGGAGAGCAAAGAGGAGATAACAATTATGCCATTTTAAAAAGATAAACACAAAACATTATGCATGCCTTCTTTAGGTCTGATCTTCCTTGTCTCTCTACCTGATGATTATTAATAATTAAAGAGAAAACCCTCTGTATAAAGTATCTGCATCTTTCAGCAAAAATTTTAAAAGAACTGTTGGGTTTTTTGGTTTTGCACAGTCTTGGAGACAAACTCTCTTTTGGGTTTTTTTTTGTTTGTTTTGTTTCCTTTTAAGTTAATGAGAACCTTAGCTTGGTATGGCCATTATCAAACACAGCTGTACACCTTTAGCATTCTTAATGTTCTCTTATGGGGCTAATATAAGCATCTATATAATATATATTATAAATATCACATTTTAAACAGGAAATGGAAGGCATTTGATGCAGAATTTTTGCATGATATAGAACTAATTAAAGTTAGCTAGTGTTTGTTTGTTTGGTCTGAATGTTGGTAGAACCTTCATAGCTTTGTTACAATGAAACCTTGAACTGAAGATATTTAATAAAATAACATTTAAACAGTGCAATGTTTTGAGTGTTACATTTTTCACTTAAACCATGGGATAATGCTGGATTGGCATTTCTGGGATATAAGTGAGGTGTTTTTTGAGGGGGGTGTTCAGTAAATCATGTGATTTACAAATGTCATGTTTAAAAAGGAAAAAAGATAAGTGATACCATACCTAAAATGAAAAAATACAAGTATTAATAAAAACCAAAAGGGCAACAGAACCTGTTGAAATTAACTTTATGGCATTTCCCTGACAGATCATGGGATAATGGCAAAATGTTGCTCCCATTCTTGATAGCCTAACCCTTGGCAAGCCTATGCTGTTGCTTTCTTTCTTGGTCTTCATTTTCCTCACCAATATTTCAGACTTTTTGTAGGAGAGGCCGTCTTGCCGGTAGGTTTGCCTGATGTAAACACTCTGAACTCAAGCTGGGTGGCAGCTCTTATATTTGTGAGCTAGCGTATTTTGCGTCCTAGACGGGCTGTGCCTGCGGAGGCACAGCTCAACCGCTCACCTTCACAAAGTTTCCTGCTCTAGCAGCGTTAAGTGTGATTTCCTGACAGGAGTTAGTTGGCTTTAGCCTGTTGTGTTTCTGTGCTGCTTCTTGCTGCTAGCATTTCATTTCTGCTCTCCTCGGACTCAGCTGGGAAGCTGCAGGTGGGAGGGGGTGGCTTTGCCTCACCACCGAAGAGTTCAGTGTGCTTAATCCCCTTTAACTGCAGCAATTACCTAGTAAATAGGTGTCAGTTGCTGCTGCTTAAAGAGATGATTGTTTCTGCTGCCTGATGAATCAGGAGGAAAATTGTCCTTAATGCTTAAAGGGAGAAGGTAAGAGTTTTACAGCCTACTTCGCTGGGAGTGAAGACAATCTGTTCTTGGCTGGCAAAGATAGCTCCTGCTATTACAGTGGCAAAGAGAAGTTCTGCTATCATTTCTGATATCCAAGGCAGCATCATTCATCAGGTAAGGCCTTTTCTGAAGCAGTTAATCCTATCATAATGATCTTTGAGTGAATGTTATGGTATGATCCCATATGCACTACGAAGATAACCATAAAGTTAGCAATAATTTCCCATGTTCTTCGTACCTCTTTTCACCAGGGCGAGAGTAATTTAAACACTTACTAAGCACAATAGTCAGACTAATGCTTATGTCAAGAATATTTATGTAGCATATATGTGGAGCCTTTCAGAGGGTTCCTATGTGTGTGCATGATTTAAATACATTTTAAAAAGGTGATGTTTAAGCTCTGCTGTATGTGCCTTTACCACTTGGAAGTGATCTTTTAGTCAGTCTTGGGCAGGGGCACTGAAAAATGGGATGGACCCTTCTCGAGAAAGGGTTCCTGTCTTATGTTTTCTTATGTTTTGGCTGACAGCAGGGATTGGGAATGGTACTTATCTGCAACGTGATAACTCTGGTATTGAGCTATCAAGCTGGATATTCCTGGGCACCTATTTTCCCATGTGCCCTATGTGGTGAAAATCTGTTCATCCTGTTGGACGGTGTTTTTCCCTCTTCCTACCTAAGAGAATTGTCTGGTTTTCTAAGTTCCCTCCCTCTCTCCTAATACATGTACATACATGCTTGTACACACAGGCTGATTACCCTGTGGGTGATCTATGATTGATTGTAGCTTTTATTTGTGCCCAAATCAGATTTCCCTTTAAACTAGGATTGGTCTGCTCTCACTTGCTGGGCTAGCGGCATGAAGTCTGGCAGGATGCTATAGCGTTATGTAGGAGATGTGGAGAGAAGCAGGAGCAGAGAGCACTGATGTACTTTCATCTGACTATGAGAATGGTTACCTTTTACTTACGTGTAACTGATAATGTGAACAAATGGACAGAGCACTTAACCAGCGATCAGGAGACTTGTGAGCTGTTCCTGGTTTCCCCGTGGCTCTGCAGAGAAGACACTTGTGTGCTCTGACCTTCAGCTTTGCCATTTGTCCCTGCAGATAACAGAAACTGCTGGAAGAGACTGATGAACAGTGATGCAGAGCAGCTGGGTGGTATTGCCACTGCACATTACAGAGGGGTTTGGGTTTTTTTCTTTTCCCTGAGAGTTTGAAAGGTTTGGAACTGCAGACTAATGCACCTGGAGTGTTTGTTTATTTGGGTTTTGTATAAATTTACTTTAGAGTTGGGAAAGGTGGTCCTTGGGGGTGCTTAAAGTGGCTTGAGTGGAAGGTTATGAATTTTTCCATTCAGTTTCTTAGTGCCTGAGAATTCACCAGGAATGTCCTGCCTGCCAGTAAGGAATAGGAATTTACTGAAGAGTGTGTAGTATTATGGACAATTTTAAGCAAGCAATTTCTTCTATACTTAACATGTCTTAGAAAACAAAAATACAAATTGTTGTGGTTTTTAAGACAACCTGGCCACAGTGAAAGGATGCAAATAATTAAGTCAATAACATCTCAGTCTGAAAGTTCCTTAGGCCACAGTGAGGTCCTTTAAAGCACAGGTGGATGAGGGGAGAGGGAAGGGTTCTTGTCCCTAATCTG